TATCTAAGGGCTCACCGAAGTCCTCCCACATCCAAGCTTTTGCCTCTGCAACAGCCAAGGTTGTGGACTGCTTGAGCCTCCGGTACTCCTCAGCTACCTCCGGAGTCTCACCAGCCAGCAAGGCCCAGCCTTGGGGAGTTCACCATCGAGTTCAAGGGTGGCCATCACAAGAAGCACTTACAACCATGTGGCCACAACTCAAAACAGCCAACTTAACAATTGAGGTGCGGAATATGGCCCACTCAGACTCGATGTTCCCTGCCTCAGCTGGGATGTGGTTGAAGCAAACCCTCACTACACATTTGGGTCTACCGGGTCTGTCCGGTATCTTCCCTCACCATCTGATTCAACTCACTACAGGTGGTGGATCTGTTTACAGCTCAGCTCCTCTTTTTACCCATGTGTACAAAACAAATGGTCGCAAATCAGATGAAACAACTATAAAGTCAATCACTGATCTACAACCTAGGATGTCCTGGTGCCAAGTGCACTTATGGACACCCTTATGTTAGAAAATGGTGTTCCTGATGGACAAACCATGACTTATCACAGAAGTCCAATAACAGAACACTCAAGTCTGCACCAAGTCAGGGGGCACACCAGCTTGGCGCCTCTCACCATGGGCAACTCCAGAGTAGGTTAAGGTCTTGCCCCTCTCAAGGAGGTATGTTCCAGAGCCTATGTTGTGCGTTAAGATGAGCCCAACTATATCTAGTCTGTACCTTTCAACCTCACATTCAGGCTCAGGCTCTTTCCCCTCTTTCCCCCTCCATCTTCTTTGAGGTAGGAGCTAAAAAATAATAATAATAATGTGGTGAGGTGTACCAACTGCTACAGTAATGCCTATGAAAAGAAACAAAAGATTAACTTCTGCAAATGGTGGTGAGCGGGTTCCTTGCGGTCTGAGAGTACGTACAATTTCACATGTCTGAGTAGAGGACTATGGAACCTGGGTGACGTAATTGTGGCCAAATGTATACATGAGGATTTAATGATTCATCAAAGAAACTGTGACCTTGTCAATCAATCAACTATGACTGTGACTGTAAACACTGCAGCCATTTCTCTTTGACCTTAAACACAGGTTAAACAATTAAAATACTTTTAAACATAAGCATTTAAAAACAGGAAGCTCTTACAAATCTGTCTTCCACCAGTAAAGTACACAGTTCATACTTTCAGTTCGTCACTTTTTTTAAAGTTAGCACAGCTTCTTCCTCTTTTGGCATTTGCAGACAAACATCTATATTCCTGAAAAAAAAAGCATTTTTTGTTCTAATCGTTCTGTTGTCAGAAGCCGAACAGCTGTTCATTGCAGTTTGAGAGGACATTGGGAATTAATTTCCCTATTTGTAGTACATTACTGGTCTACACTGAGGTGTAAAACTTCCATTACAGCTGATATTTATGTGCATGTTCAAATCCTTTTAGTTCACATGCATTATTTAAAAATGCAGACTAATTATCATCAGAGTAGAACTGATAACTGCTACCATCTGTGTGTCAACAGTGTCTACGCTTGTACTTTATGACAACTGTTTTCTGTAGACCTGTTTGAGGATTCATTACCAAAAGGGCCATGTGCCACTTCAACAATTTGTGTGACATCCAGTGTTTTATCTCTGCTTTATATTGTACCTCTGGCTGTTGGAGAAAAATGACATGAAAATGATGGGAGATGCAATTGTTTTGTTACATGTCAGTATATTAAATATATCTTTCATATTTTCAGTCACCCCCAATTGTTTGTCCTTTATATTTGAAGTGCTTCTGTGTTTTTGTCATCACATTAATGAATCCACTTCAGCTCTTTCTTCTCTGTGCTTAAAACAAATGTGTGTAATGCAAAACAAAAAAAAAGTTAATTTTTTTATTACTTAAAAAAGATTAAATTATTCTGAAAAGTCACTAAACGTTGAAACAAAGTTCTAACTGGCAACTATGAATCCCTGTTTATCCATCTGTGACCAAATGTTGGGTGTGGTCATGGATGGTATGTTGCAAGTTGACTTTCTACATTATAAACCCCATTTTAATTATTGCCTCCGTTCATTAAAGTAAAATATTTCATGAACTAATGGCACATTTTAATAAACAATGTATTCATTGTATGAACATCTAGGACCAATAAATTATAGCCACCACTGCTAATTGACCTTAGCACACTAAAATGATTATACAGTGGTGCTTACAGTGTGTCCACTTTTGCCACTCACAAATATGTAATATTGGATTATTTTCCTCAATAAATAAATGACCAAGTATACTTTTTTTTCTCATTTGTTTAACTGGATTCTCTTTATCTACTTTTAGGACTTGTGTGAAAATCTGATTATGTTTTTGTTCATATTTATGCAGAAATGTGGTTAATTCTAAAGTTTTCAAACTTTCAAGCACCACTATAATTCAGCCAGTTTTACAGATATTAAGTCAAAGTCAAATTTATTTATATAGCACATTTTTTATTCAACCTTTATTTATACAGGTTAGTCTCATTGAGTCATGAGGACTCATTTTCAAGAGAGCCCTGTTTTAGACAGACAACATATAAGTCACAGTCAGAGTCAGTTTCTTTTATTGTCATTCGCACCTCATGGTACATGTGGTGGAGAGAAACAGGGTCCCAGTTACATCCAACAACAAAATGTAAAAGAAAAACAGTAATAACATCTAACATATGAACTAAGAAAAACATCAACTAAATATACACCAAGCACTCATAACATAAACATTACGTCGAACATCAGCACAAACATGAGTCCGTGTGAGCAGATGAGCACGCATGAACACATCAACATTGAAACAGATCAACAGCAACATGATGTGATTTTTTTTTTCACAGTGATTATTCTGGTTAGATTCATAAGTCTAACAGCCTCAGGGTAGAAGCTGTTCCTCAGTCTAGTGATTCTACACTTAATGCTCCACAACCTCCTTCCTGAGGGGAGCAAGGCAAAAAGTGTGTGTGCTGGGTGAGTGGGGTCCTTCATGATGCAGGTGGCTCTCTTCCTGCATCTGGAGATGTAGATGTCTGTGATGGTGGGGAGGCTGACTCCCGACAGACTTCTGTGCAGCCTTCACCACTCTCTGCAAAGCTTTTCTTTCTGCAGCTGTGCAGCCTCCATGCCACACGTTGATGCTGGAGCACAGGATGCTCTCCACTGCACACCTGTAGAAGGAGGTGAGGACTGAGCTTCCCAGACCAGCTCGTCTCAGCTGTCTGAGGAAGTATAGTCTCTGATGAGCTTTCTTGATCAGGCTGGTGGTGTTGTTGCTCCAGCTGAGGTTGTCATTCATGTGTACACCCAAGTACTTGTAGCTGGAGACCACTTCCACCGCAGATCCTCTTATGTTCAGGGGGGGGGGGGGGGGGAGTAGATGTTTTTGTTCCTTCTGAAGTCCACAACCATCTCCTTTGTCTTCTTCACATTGATGTGAAGGTTATTCTCTTTGCACCAGCTCTCCAGGTGTTCCACCTCTTGTCTGTAGCTGGACTCATCATTGTTTGTGATGCATCCCACCACCACTGTATCATCTGCAAACTTTACAATGTGACAGTCTAGATGGGTAGCTGCACAATCATACGTGAGCAGAGTAAACAGGAGGGCGCTCAACACACATCTCTGAGGAGAGCCAGTGTTGAGGGTTATGGTGGAGGAGGAGGAGAAGTTGTGGATCCTCACTAACTGTGGTCTGTTTGTATATACATTTGAAAATAACAGGTTATTTCCCAAGTGCTGAACAATAAAGGACAAATGCAGAAATTAAAATTAAAATATTAAAATAAATATTAATTTGGTAGTACCTGAGAGTAATATTTAGTGCTAACAAAGTTTTTGAGATCGTTGGTTAAATGATTGGCATACAAGGTAATTTCCTGCCAGGAAACTTAGTTCTGATTTAATTTCTTAACTCATTTAATTTCTTCTTACAGTTTTCAGATTTCTTATTTTAACACAGTTGCATCATAAAGCAAAGAATTCAAAAAAGAGAAGAAAAAAATCAAATGGCCTTTTTTGCATGTTTAAAAAAAACATTTCAGAAGTACAAACTCAAGTAACCATCTTCTCTTAGAGTGCAATCCTTTTCTGATGGTGATAGTGGAGTTCTGATATGTTTTATTTTGATTTATTCATGTAAATGTAATAAAAATGTATGTCTCTTTTAAAGTAGCTAACTGTCATACTAGAAGTGTAAATCTTTACCGTCCTGATGATTTTACCTGGGTTTATCTGGGGTTCCCTTAGATTCTTAGGTAAACTGCTAAAATTGTAAAGATTCCTCCATTAAAGAATCATTAATATCACAATAAATCTTTGTTTATACATGGGCTCCACAATTTGGTATAATACAACTTTGCTAATGTTGTATACTGTACTTTAAATAGCAAAAAAAAGGTTATTATTTGCTTCCAAAACTTCTTTGTTAGAAAGCTTTGCCCTCCTCTACTGTATTCACAAGTGCTACATTTTGTAGCTCCCTTTGCTTTTTCTTTTACATCTGCCTTCATTTCTCCTTTGGTGTTTTAAAACAGTTGAAGGCAGCACAGCCATGTTGCTGTGAAGCATTACTGTTCCTCTGAGGCCGGAAAATCCCATTTGTGTTCCCACTAACCAAATTCGCAAAGTGCTGATTAAGCGTATTAGCTGCAGGTAAACATACCAGAGTTTCAATTCTGGTGTGTGTTGTGATGCCCCAGGACTGTTTTATGTTTGCCAAATCTGTGGAGGCTAGTAACAAAGACCAAAATAGAATTGGACCTTGCAGTAGAGAAGGCATAAAAGGATTTAATGGACAATTTTTGAAGGGGAATTAGTAGTTTGTGGAAATTTTACTTATAATAGGTTTCAAGTTTTGGAACATCTAACGCAAAACTATGACTGCATAATCTGCAGTAAAACTTGAACTTCAGGTGAAATAAGAACCAAAACAGAAACTTTAAATGAGTTTAAACTATTGTCTTAATGCATTTTTCCCTCCGTTTTTTTATGTCTTAACAGATTGCAGTGATGACAGTCACTCTATTTCCCATCCGTCTCCTCATAGCTGCATTTATGATGCTCCTGGCATGGCCGTTTGCCTTCATTGCCTCAGTGGGGCGCTCCGAGACCACCGTTGAACCCCAGTGCCTCTGGAGAAGGTATGCGTTTTTCTTTATTCATTTTTCTTTTTTTCTTTTTTTACGGATGTGTATCTAGCGTAAGAGTTTTTGTACTTTGTGAAGCAGTACATAGCTTATCAATAAGTTTAAACCCATCTAATTCGGCATATTGTCACTTTATAGAATGTTATGGACCATTTACTGTTCTGTCAGAGCTGATATTGATAGAAAGTCGCATTAGGCCTGTCACGATACCAAATTTTGCTGGGTGATTAATTGTCTTAAGAAATAATTGCAATAAACAATAATATTGTTTGGAATTTGATAATAATTTGTAATGTCAAATTTAAGAAGAAATGTTGATTCATTTTTGTGTGTAGTACCTTTTTTCACCACTGGATGGCAGCATAAAGACTGTTTTGAACTGAAGGATGGATAGTGAGGGAGCATGTGGCATGTCTCTTTAAGAAAAATGGGAGGGAGGCCTCTTGATGCAACATGGACTGTCTCTCTTTGGTTCTCAGAATGGCAAACGCTTGGTGTGCTTTGAGGTCTTAAGCGTAGCATTTGTCACACAAAGCTTTTAGTAAAAAAATCAGTAAACAAGTTTTCTGTTCTTTTTTTCTTTTTTTTTGTAGTGAAAAACAACTTTTTAGATGAAGGCACGGGTTTCAACCATGAATTTTGGAGCTTCGACAAGACGGAGTTTTTTCCCCAAGGTTGGCCTGTTAGCTTAGCTCGTAGCTTAGCTTCTCAGCTTAGCTGCTATTACTGATCCAAAAACACGATTTTGGATGGTTACAATGGATTTTAAAGAAAAGAGAAAGGGAGGGATCAGTGAAGAGCACTGGAGTTGAGCCTTGTCATCCAGTATCTTCATTAGAAAGAGAGAACGAAGAAACGATAAAACTGATAAATGAAAATGAGGTCGATAATTTTCATTCATCCTGCAATTAATTGATTTATTGTTTATCGCGACAGGCCTAAGTCACTTGGCTCAAATGTTCTTTTTATATGTCAGTCATGAATATGTGAGTGAGTGTGTCTTTCATGTTGCTGTTGTGGATGTAGGGTTCATTAGTAATGATACTCAGTACAGGACTCGGTGCATTTGTTTCACATTATGAATATTATTATTTTTTTAATTTAAAAATCTTCTTTCCAGGGTGGTGGATATCATTCTGAGATTCATCATGCGGGCCATGTGGTTTGCAGGAGGTTTTCATTGGATGACAGTAAAAGGACAAAGGGCATTACCTACAGAAGCACCTATCCTGACCCTGGGCCCCCACTCGTCTTACTTTGATGCCATCCCAGTTACAATGACGATGTCCTCCATTGTCATGAAAGCGGAAAGCAAAGATATTCCTCTCTGGGGCAGTAAGTGAAAAGCTCATTGTTAATTTATTGCAAGTTTCATTCAGTCTGGATGATGATGATGATCAACCTATTCTTCTTTATTATTTTGTACTTTTAAACAACAGTTTATATTGACTAAGTTATTAGAGCAAATTTCTCCTCTGGTAAGCAAGCCTGTTCTGCAGCAGTGGCTGCTATCAGGACAAATATTGACATAAGATAAGGGCTGCTATCAGAAAGTTATTAAAGCTGTTAAGGAAACAACCGAGGTTAGTCAAACACTGTGAGGGCTAAAGATAGTCAAATCTTTCAATAAAAATGTTTGCACCTTCTAACATTTACAAAATAAAATATACATTTTTACTGCATTATAAATAAGACGCAGTGTGAACTCCATTTTGTTTAGTTATAGAAACCATACTGCATATCTGCTGCTGTTCATTATGAACATGACAATATTGTAAGAAACTAAATAAAGCCATTCTCTGCTTTGTTACATGATATACACTATATTGACAAAAGTGTTTGCTTGTCTCCCTTCACCCTCATACTAACTTGAGTGACATTCCATTCTTAATGCAAAGGGTTTAGTAAGATGTTGACACACCCTTTGCAGCTATAACAGTTTCAACTTGTCTAGGAAGGCTTCACACGAGGTTTAGGAGTGTGTTTGTGGGAATTTTTGACCCGTCGTCCAAAAGTGCATTTGTGAGGTCACACTGATGTTTGATGAGAAGGCGTGACTCGCAGTCTCCACTGACCAAACATGTTCTATTGGGTTTAGGTCAGGACTTTGTGCAGGCCAGGCAAGTTCTTCCAGACCAAACTCGCTAATCCATGTCCTCATGGACTTAGCTAGCTTTGTGCTATGGTGCACAATCATGTTTGAACAGGACGAGGCCACACACTGTTCCCACAAAGTTGGAGGCTTGAAATTGTCCAAAATGTCTTGGGTATGCTGTAGCACTGAGTTATTTTCACTGGAACTAAGTGGCCAAGCCCATCTCCTGGTAAACAACCCTACATCATAGCCCCGTCCACCAAACTTTACACTTGGCACAGTGCAGTCAGACCAGTACTGTTCTCCAGGCAACCACCAAGCCCAGACTAATACATAAGATTGCCAGACAGAAAAGTATGATTCATCACTCCAGAGAACACAACTCCACTGGTTTAGAGTCCAGTGGTTGTGTGTTTTGCACCACTGCATCCGATGCATTGCATTGTATTTGATGTTGCAGGATTTGGATGCAGCTGCTTGGCCATGGAAAGCCACTCACTCCATGAAGCTTTTGTTAAAGCTGTCCGCATTAAGTGCTTGCTTTTATACACCTGTTCCCATGGAAGTGATTGGAACACCTGAATTCAATTATTTTTGGCAATACAATGTGTGTGTAGCTTAACTGAATCCGAAGATTAAATTAACTTTTTTTTTTCAACTTGTTAAAAATGCACTTAAATCCAATTTGATCCCAGTTTTGTAATCACTAAGCTCTCAGTTAAAAGTTGTGGCCTCATGATTCATGTTTAAACTTGACTCATCTTGTTATCCAGTGCATTTTGATGCAGGTCTGTGCATCCTCAAATAACTTAACACCCTTATAAAGCTAAATTCCTAATAAATCTGAGCAGACATATTTACATCTGTTTCTTTAGTGTTGGCAAAGATCAGACAACTAGCAACACAAAGGAGAACCTCTGTATGTGGAAACTATGCATGACACACAGTGAGAAGTCAGATTGTTCTGTTTCAGTGATAGCACTAAAAACCAAAGATTTTTGTAAAACCTATGAAATAACTAATAACAGTCATAAACTTAGAATTTAGTGTAATCATTTCCCAAGTTTTTCACTTGCTCAACAGCCACTTTTGTTTGGATAAGAACCACTGTTTGATGATGATAAGGTGGACAGCTGGGCTGCTTAACAGAAGTCTCTGACTCATTTCTGTATCTGTATTTCAGGTGGTTAGATTACAGACGTGTTAACCTCATCTTTGCTGTTTTGACATTTCATTCTATGCAAACTTACATGTGAGAGAGTTTCACATAGGAAGTAGGTCTGGTTTGTCGGTCAAGTAAGAGCCACTTGCAGGTCAAGCAGACCATGTTAAGTTGCAGACAGCACACAAACAGCGTATCCTGTAAGCAAGCTTACGTGTGAAGTTACCTTTCTAAGTGCCAGTGTTGGCATCAGATCATAGGCCCCTCCCAGCAGGACATGCAGTCAAGGTTTATGGGTTATTTTAGTCTCCATCTTTCCTCCTCCTGTTCTACCTACTAAAGTCAGCACTTTACCACATTGTTACCTGCAGGGGGTGGGAAACTCAGCCAAGTTAGAACAGCACCACTTTCTTGCAATGACAGATTGAAACTACACAGTATTTGTGCACTCACTTTTTTGTCTGCATTATGGGGTGATTGTCAGAATCAGCATCAGTCAAGTGTACTACTAAGGTTGAACTTTCTTACCCTCAGTTAATGACTTTATTTAAACAAATTAAACATTCATTTGTATGTCATTATTCTGACACGTGCTCGCTCAGCTGTATGCCATCCTTAAGTTGAGAAATGATAGAGCCTGTCAAACTATGGTTAAAAAACTCATGAGTTTTGCACCAGAATTTCCTGGATTGCAGGAAAGTGGAGGCCTGAATAAGCATTATGACATGATCATCTGCAGTCATGCATGCAGTCTTTTGATTCAAGCTAGACATAGCTGTAATCTCTTCCTGTTATCAGCTGCTTTGCTGTTGACATCAGTTCTTTCTTTTCATCATCTCACATTATTTTTCTGAAATCATTTACTTCTTGACTTTCACTCTGGGCTTCCTAACATTTGCAGTTATTTGTTTAAAGATGAAAAACTCTTCTAGTAAGTAGGAAAATACCATACCACAAGTAAAACGTCTTCACCTACAGAATAGTAGTCCAGTAGCTTTGCTTTTTGAAACTTTTAATTTGCCGTGCCGGAATAACTGAGAATCTACACCAACATTTGATATCAGCATTGGTGTCAGGTTATTTTTGATGGGATCAATACTTTAGTTTGTTTTGCTCCTGTTCAGAAGTGCAGTTCTCTGCTGCAGTAGGCAAAACATGGCAAGCTCAAATGTAAATACAAGACAAAGCATGCATGGCAGATAATGATGTTGTCTACTTTGATTGCAAATTCAGAGATGATCCACACACGCTGATGTGCAGCATGCCTTTTTACGTTCATACACACAGTACGCTGCACATGATGTCACTTCAGAGTCATGGACTGTTCACACCAGTGTGCAATGGCTCTCAGTTATAAATTAAAATCTGAACAACCAAAAACTAACTGGAGCTCTGCAAAAACTGGTGTAGAGCATTAAGACCTGAAGTGTGAATATTGTTCTTATAAAGTGCTGTAACCAAACCATATTGTAGAGACCAAGCCAATGCTTTAAGCCACTGAGGTGATACACCGGGGTATTGTTGACGTGCTGATTGTTACCTTGTCAGATGAATTAAAAGTCAGAGCCGTCCTTGCTCGTTTGCAGATAATCCATTTATTCTTTACGTTTCATCTGTGTCCATTAAAGGCAATACATATTTCCTCAACATTTCCATCTGTTGACAACATCTAGTTCATATTCAGCGGTCAAAAAACTGTTTCCCCCTTTCGGGTGGAACACCTGACTCGCAAAGAAAAGGTTCCTACTATATAGACAGCTGATGACCTAATACCCTTTCACAAATTTATTTATTTATCACCTGCTCCTACACATATGTTATTGCTGGAACTGTGTGTGATTGTAGATGGGAAACAAACACTAAAGGCTGCATATATCTAAGATTAGTCTAGAAACAACCTGTGAAACAGTTTTCAGGTTCAGACTGTTGTTGCAGAAGGAAGTCAGACTTGTTTCCATTTGTGTTGCACATATGAGCTTCATCTGACTCACGTAGCCCTTTTAAAGAACATCCTGTATGAAAGAACACACGCACGTGCACACACACACACACACACAGAGCCATGTGTTGATATTACTCAGTTGTGATGACTTTATTTCATGTTCACTAAGGTTAGATTGGCTGTTAAATCAGTGGTTAATTATAAAGTTTCAGAAACATTGAAATTTATCAGTTTTACACACCCACACACATACATACATACAAACCAGATGCCAAAAAAGTTGGGACACTAAACAAATTGTGAATAAAAACTGAATGCAATGATGTGGAGGTGCCAACATCTAATATTTTATTCAGAATAGAACACAAATCACCGATCAAAAGTTTAAACTGAGAGAATGTATCATTTTAAGGGAAAAATCTGTTGTTTCCAAATTTCATGGCGTCAACAAATCCCAAAAAAGTTGGGACAAGTCCATTTTTACCACTGTGTGGTATCCCCCCTTCTTCTTACAACACTCAACAGATGTCTGGGGACAGAGGAGACCAGTTTCTCAAGTTTAGAAATAGGAATGCTCTCCCATTCATGTCTAATACAGGCCTCTAACTGTTCAATCGTCTTGGGCCTTCTTTGTCGCACCTTCCTCTTTATGATGCGCCAAATGTTCTCTATAGGTGAAAGATCTGGACTGCATTCTGGCCATTTCAGTACCCGGATCCTTCTCCTACGTAGCCATGATGTTGTGATTGCTGCAGAATGTGGTCTGTCATTATCGTGTTGAAAAATGCAGGGTCTTCCCTGAAAGAGATGACGTCTAGATGGGAGCATATGTTGTTCTAGAACCTGAACATAGTTCTCTGCATTAATGGTGCCTTTCCAGACATGCAAACTGCCCATGCTACAAGCGCTCATGCAACCCCATACCATCAGTGATGCAGGCTTCTGAACAGAGCGTTCATAACAACTTGGGCTATCCTTGTCCTCTCTGGTCCGGATGACATGGCGTCCCAGTGTTCCATAAAGAACTTCAAATCGTGACTCATCTGACCACAGAACAGTCTTCCATTTTGCCACACTCCATTTTAAATGACCCCTGGCCCAGTGCAAACGTCTGAGCTTGTGGAGCTTGCTTAGAAATGGCTTCCTCTTTGCACTGTAGGGTTTCAGCTGGCAACGGTGGATTTTTTTTTTCCAGCCACTTATTGCTACTTGTCCCAACTTTTTGGGGATTTGTCGACACTGTGAAATTTTGAATCAACATATTTTCCCTTTAAAATTTTACATTTACTCAGATTAAACTTTTGATCTGTCATCTATGTTATATTACGAATAAAATATTGACATTTGCCATCTCCACATCATTGCATTCAGTTTTTATTCACAATTTGTTTATTGTCTCAACTTTGAATCCGGTTTGTTTATATATATATATATATATATATATATATATATATATATATATATATATGTGTGTGTGTGTGTATATATATATATATATATAAATATATGTGTGTGTGTGTATATATATATGTATGTTTGTGTGTGTATATACCGGTGTGTGTGTGTGTTTGTAGTCTATATAAGCATCCTTTAACTTTGTTACTGAGGTTTATTATTGATATATATATATTTTTTATTGATTTATGTTATTTTTAATTGAGATATTATTATTATTATTATTGGGGTATTATTTATTATTGAGCTTTATTACTGAAATTTAATTAAGATTAAACTAGTTGGCTAAATCAAGAGCTATAACATATTATTAACATAGTACTAACATATTATTTTGAGGTAACTGTTGTGTTGCAACTTCTTTTCTTTGTTCTCTTCTTTGCTTTTTGCTTCCAGCTTTGATAAAGTACATTCGGCCCGTGTTCGTGTCACGATCAGACCAGAACTCCAGAAAGAAGACTGTGGAGGAGATTAAACGAAGAGCCCATTCTGGAGGAGAATGGCCTCAGGTAAGTGGATTAGCAGATTAATTTAGGAGTAGTTGTGTTGCAGCTTGGTGACACACTTGACGGTCAACAGGTCTTTAAAGAAACACAGAGCGGATGTATTTGTTGTGCATCATGTTTACCAAACTACTCATGGGTTTGCCAAGTCTCCATGTTGTTGAAGAGATTCCTCTGAACCAATTTTGTAGTTGAATACTTGATGAGGATAAATTATCACAATGGACAAAAAGTAAAGTGATTGTCCAACCATTTTGAAGTTGAGTTCTGTGGGAAAGGTGTAATCAAGTCATGTTTCACTCATGGTTGTTTGAGAAAAAAATACCTCCTGCTGTAAATGCACCCAGGCAGTACCAGCTGTGCTCCAGTCAGTGCCACAGCTAGCTGCTACATCTACTTGCTTGCACTTGCATGCAACCATACATTTCAATGTAAAGACAGTGTAACACAAAACTGACAACAATGTAAAATTACTAAAATTCAATTAGCATGCACCATTGTAATTTGAGATTACAGTTGTTTTAGGATGACAGCACTCATTGGTTCTGTTGGACTCAGTAATTCAAAGAGCTATCCACAGCAGGTTGGACATTTATCTGAAGCCTTTCCACAGAGCTCTACACAACTGTCTTTTTAAAAATTCAACATTTCATGATTCTTCTTTATTTACTACTCATTTATTTTTTGGCTCTGCTGTAAAAAAACAAAAAAAATAATCTGCATGTTTTAAAGACAACAAAGCTTTGATGTTACGGATAAAACGTAGCATTAAAGAGGAAATACTGCTCAAACACAAATTGTCTGTTTCCTCTCTTTACCTCTAGATCATGATATTTCCAGAGGGGACTTGCACAAATAGATCCTGTCTCATCACTTTTAAGCCAGGTAGCTCCAGTTCTGCTGTTAAGCTCATATTTCTTTTCCTTTATATTATTATTATTGTTTTAAGTTGAATGCACTCATTTTATAACTTATACTTTGAATGAAGTGACCCACTTTCTTTCAAATTGGTTTGGGTTGAATTTAGTTGTAAAACTTAGGGTTTGATGAAATATCTGCCATAAACTTGTAAACAGTATGTGCGCATGTTTGTTTTTTTATTACTACTTCATTTATGGATTTGGGGAAATTGGTTAAAATATCTTTTCTGTTCCACTTTTGTAGGGGCCTTCATCCCAGCTGTCCCAGTGCAGCCTGTGGTCATTAAGTATCCTAATAAACTGGTAAGATACCCACCCAAGGAAGACTTTATTTTTATTTTATTCCTGATATTACCGTACATTCTTGTTTTAATAATAAATGAATATGTTTCACATTTGAAAGCTTTCCCTGTCATCTAATTCTCCCCCCATACTCTAATAAGGTCCTTATAACAAACTGGTCAATTTAATACAAACCAGTGAATATACCTCAGGTTAGGCTCAGTCAGGGTGTCCTGCATGTTTCAGAGGTTTCTCTGCTCCAACACACCCTGCCCTGTGGTGTGTGTTACTCGTTACGCGACATGAACCACAGCAGATCAATAATTGTTTAAAAATAAAAAAAAAAAGGTGGCTCAGCAGCATTTCTGCTCTCCATAAAGGTCCTGACCATGAAGCCAAAATTACATTCACAATTTGCCAAAATTAAACTTGATTTAGAAAAAAAATTACTTGTAAAACATTGAGATCAAAAATTTAAATAAAAATATGTTTGATTTAAAAGAACAGTTTACATTTTTTAATCATATAGTAAAGACTGAAATAAGATGTCATCTTCTTTGTGTTTTAAACAGGACTCAATCACGTGGACGTGGCAAGGCCCGGGAGCGTAAGTACACAAACTTATTTGTTAATTATTTTTATTCATGTCTAATGTAAACGTTAACCTTCACACTAAGGTGAAAATGTGCTTCTTTTTTTTGTTTAAAGAACGTTAAAGATAAGTTGGAACCAAATCTAATCTAAGAATTAATTTTTTGCACATATTTCCTATACAAGCTCAAGTTTTATTGATCTTTTCGTTTTATTTTTCGTGAACTCTTTTAACAAATCCAGCTGCCGCTCATTCGGAGCACACAGAGCGAAGCTCAGAGGTTTAAATGTATAACTGATTTCTAACAACATGCAGTCACCATTTGTTGTTCAGAGCAGCAGAGAAACGAACATTTCTTCATTTATAAATTATATTGTTCACCGCGTTTGTTTCTAGATTTGGTTATTTTCTAAGATGAGTGTTTTCTTGAGGTTTAATGGAGCTTTAACACTTTTTAATAAATACGTTTTAATAGTTACTCATTTTTTTTCCCAATTTTTAAACTTTTTTTTTCTTGTTTGCTATGTTTGAATGTCTTTTTGTTTGTAATTATTTATTGCTTATTGTGTTTTGCAATCCAGATTTGAAATCTTGTGGCTGACTCTCTGCCAGTTACACAATGAGTTTATTATCGAGGTAAACGCACACGCACACATGCAGAGGTAACATTTCGTTATGATGCTGGTCTTTTTGTGCCTGTAATGTTCTGTATACTCAGGATAATGAGGGTGAACACTCATGTTGTGTTTTTTTTTTTTTTTTCTGATTTGTATTTATTTGCGTTTGTGTAAAGTTGAGAAAAGCTCATGAGATTGTTTCCTCTACAGTTCCTGCCCATTTATACTCCGTCAGAGGAGGAGAAAAAGAATCCTGCTCTCTTTGCTATCAATGTGAGACAAGTCATGGCCAAGTAAGTCACACATTTGACCACTTTGTCATCTTTGTTGCACACACTGTGTTGGACATTTTAACATCACATGACTCACAGCTTCTGTATTTGCTCTACAGGCCGAGGTTTGGATGATTTACACCCACTGATGATGTCTCCTCATTGTCTCCCCCTCAGAGCTCTGGGCGTGCCCATCACAGACTATTCATTTGAAGACTGCCAGCTGGCCATGGCTGAGGGCCAGCTGAAGCTGCCAGTCGACACCTGTCTGCTGGAGTTTGCCAGACTCGTCAGGAGGCTGGGGTGAGTTCATCAAATGTTCTCGTTGAATGCACCTTTCAGAGGGAACTAAGTAAGAAACACAAGAGTGTAAAATACTCCCAGCAGCGCAACAGCATCTAGGCAGGGATTCAGTTTGTGGAAGCACCATCTTTGTGTCCATTGTGCATTTTAGGAACACGTATCAAAAGACAAGGTGCTGAAATTGGGTCTCTAATCAGTAAATAAGGGCATTTGTGCTTTTGTATTCACATGATGTAGCAGAACTGTGCTTTGGCATTTAACAGAAAACAACAACAAGAAGAAGTTTGTCTTTCTCTCATTCCACAAATGAGACATGCAGTGCCAAGTAGTACCGTATTTTTCACCCTTTAAGTCACGTTTTGATTGTCAGCGGTGATGCGTAATAGATGCGACGTATACGGCGAGGTGACGCATTTATGGATTTTTCCACTTTATTAGTCATATTTGGACTGATGCGACCTATAGGGCAGAGTGACGTGTACGGTGGAAAATACGGTACTTATTGTGATAAAATGTGAAGTTGGTGGGAAATCACAAGGATGTGTATGGAATTTAGTTAAAAGTGTCCCAAAGTCATGAAGTTGACAGAATTGTCCCGTCAGTTCAGAGAACGACTTTGTGGCATGTACAAGTGGAGGAGAAATAACTCTTTATTTATTTTTATTCATTTATTAACTGTTTATGTTTACATATTGCACCATGTTGCACCTTTTTTATTTAAACATCTTATTGCTGTCACAGGCTGAAACCGCAGAACTCCGAGAAGGTTTTGCAGGACTATGGGAACAGAGCCAGGAAACTGGAGGGACAGAAGCTTGGCTTGGACGACTTTGCGCACTTCCTGGACGTGCCAGTTTCAGATATGCTTCGTGACATGTTTGCTCTCTTTGATGAGGTAAACTCACTACAACTCTTCTGCCTCACATTCATGACTGCCACTACTGGCTTTGCAGTTGTTCTGTTTCAATTGGCCTCATTTAAAAATGAAATTGTTCACAACAAATACAGAACTGAGAAGAAGGATTTAGCTTCAGTACGTAACCAAAGTCTGTTGTATACTGTTTTTATATGCTGTCAATTTACGCTTGGCTATTGAAGGAGTTTTTCTAGCTTTGTCCACCCCCAAGAATCTTAAGTAAACAGCAAGTAGAGCGGGGCTTGTTTATTTAGCGCAGCTATTAGCAACCATGAAGCTAAGCTAATCAGATCCACACTGTACCTAGTCCCACACTAGGTTTACAAGTGATGCACTGGTCATAAAAACAGTCTTCCTAATGTGCGTTCACATTTTCTATCCTCCACTATTCACTATAAAGTCATCAAGTGTTACATAAATACAAATTAAACAAAGAAACACCCTTCCCTGTTTATTGTTTACACAGTCACATATGGTGAAGACCTAATTAGTATTGACCGTAATAGCGTTTTTTTTTTTTCTTTGCAGAGAATTAAAGATTTCAGACAAACAATGCATTTCTTTGAGGACGACAAAAATAACGTTGCTAACACTGATATATATATTTTACTTCTACGTTAGATTCATTGTTCTGGATAAAGTTTTACAAGGCTCCAACCTATGCTAGGTTATCTAAACGTTAGCTTGCTCACTTGAGAGGCAGTAGCTAATGACAAGCGGGTTAGAGGATTGAAGAGTGTTTATTTATTATTGTTGATTTATTTGACAGATCAGTTCAAATAAACTTGCCATGCTCTGCTCAGTAAAAAGCACAGTACTGCTCTCTGCTTCAGCTGTGCTGAACATCAAAGTGAAATGTAAAGTAAACAGCCATGACTTGAAACTAGTCTCCATGCGCCCTCTGCTGGATACATTGTACAGTTACAGCTGGTTCCAGCATTTTAGGGGTGAAAATTAGAAGTGTTTATATTGGCACATAATGGGACAATTATCACAGATACCAATATGTCCCCAAATGCCTATATCAGTTCTACTGATATATCGGTTGGGCTCTATATATAATAAACACACATCCCCTCAGAGACATCAGTGTCCACTTGTTTTTCATCCAGATTTTCACAACTTTTTCAGCAACAACGTAATACTACTTAACTAATAATGCATAATACTATACAAATACTACTGAATGATGAAAGTGTCAGACAGTGTATAAATTGTTCTCAGCACCTCAGAGAGCAGCAGCATTTTTCTACACTAAAGCTGATAATAGGCGACACCTTTTTTACCCGGCAGTGCGTCGACTGTAAAACCTCCAATCGAGCTCCTAATGTGGTTTAGCTGCAGTCAGATTTTTCATCTAAACAGTTGCTGTAAATACTTCTGCTTACTCGACTTTGTGTTTAACTTTTATAGCATGAAGATTTCAGCATGGATGTCCGAGAATTTGTGATAGCCTTATCTGTTGTATGCAGACCCACAAAAACTCTGGAAACCATGAAGTTAGCCTTCAAGGTATGTGTCACTTTTATGCTCACTCTCAGGCAGAACTTTGTGAGCTTATGTTGTCATTTATCATCAGTTCATGGTTCACTCACATTCCTGACATGCTCAGGTCTCCCTTTCATAACGTTAAAATGTGCACGTGGGGAATCCTGCTGAAAGATGGTGGTCGTATGCCATCAAAGGGTTTGTAGTTTCTGTTAGAACCGAAACGATTGGCTTCAGTTTGCATTGGAAAGATGTTTTTAGTTCAACATCTACACTTGCTTTCAGCTGTGCAGCGTTTTCTTCTCCAGATGTTTGAGGCGGAGGAGGATGGGGCCGTCACAGAGAACGAGTTGGCAGCTATTCTGAAGACGGCTTTAGGAGTGGCTCACCTCAACGTGTCACATCTGTTCACCGCCATCGACGCTGATGACACAGGAAAAGTTACGTTTGGTAGGTCTGAGCTGGACTGCAGTGGGGTTTTCAACTCTCATTTTTAAATCTATATGGTTTTTGTCAAACGCCTGGGTTTAATATTGTCTTTGTCTTTGGCTCCCCCTTGTGGTCTCTGTAGATAAGTTCCGAGGTTTTGGGGAGGAGAACCCAGACTTTGCTGAGGAATACCTTTACACGGAAAACGCAGGCCTTCAGAACGGTCCCTGCCGCGGTCAGCAGACGCAGCCCAACCCGTCCACCCAGAGCCCACAAAACACTGCCACGAGCAAAACAGCCAACGGTATCTGCCCCGACTTCAGCCCGAAGGACCACGACGGCACGACGCATGCTCGCTCCAAGAAACACAACTAGAAAAGGTTGAAAACATCAAGACAACCCCAAGCAGCTCCTCTCCTGGTGAGATGGGGCTGAGAGCGGGTTGGTTATGTGTGAGGGAGGGACTGCATTTCATTAACCGCAACTAGGAAACTGAAGTTTACTCTTTTTATTGGTGTTCTGTTCGTACACTTATAATTTTCAGCCCTTAACTGTTTGTTACTTTTCATTTTTGTTAGGAAGAATTGTCATAATGCCAAATAATGGCTTTTCTTTTGGATACAATTCTTGAATATTTGAAGGGCAAGCACTTACTCCTGGGGCATATGATGTTTTTTCACTTTTTCCCTGTAATATAATATAAAACAGATTCTGCATGTTTTTAACTCAAGACAGCCACGACTAAACAAGCCCTACTTTATGAACCAGATATATTTTTTTCTTTATTGAAATCAGTGTGTTTCATTTATTTGTACCTTTCTATCATTTCCCTTCTTTAAAGACAGCTGCTTTTAGAATCAAAGAGCAGAATGATGGGGCTCACCTCACACTGAGCAGAACATCTGGTTCTTTCTGAAGGACTGGAGGCCCGGGGGTACCGTTGAAGACTGACAGAGTCTGAGGTTAACTCTGGGCTCTGCACGATGAGTCCGCTGTGTGTGTGTGTCAGTACAACAATATTTGATTTAGCTCAGGGTTCAGTAACAAGTGAAAAATTAACTCCGATGATGTCATCGTTTTTATATAGGTTACCTATAGGCATGTAAGCTCTGTTTCACACGTCAGTGCACGAGTCGTTTCTCGCACACAGTCATCTGTCTTTTCCTACATAACTTGGACCAAACATTCATCGGTGATTTCATTTTCCTCTCTTTGTGTTGTGCTGTTTGTTGGATTGTTTCAGGGGCGACAGCTTAAAGGGAACAGATCAAATCATGTGACCTCTGACAGCTACTTCCATTATTTCATTAAAAACTTCAGCTCAACTTTGAAATTTGCAACATATTTCCTAATATTTATGTAGCGTGCAGGGATTCAGTTGTCCACAAACTCAACGTTCAAATTGTTCGTTCTGTGTTTCTGATCTGCACAGAAGAAAACGTTTGCTGCTTCGATCACTCACAAGAGTTTAAAACGGGCACGTTTGCAGCTGATTGCAGTTGTTGCTTTTTATCCAACTCTTAAAAAAAAAAAAAAAAAAAATGTCAGAAACTGTAAATGTGCACAGAGGTGTCACCTGAACATGGATTAACGCTGTTCATGAAACGTGTTTTATGTTCAGAGGTGGAGCGGCTCTGCACACAGTTTGAATTAAAATGAGGAAGATTGAAGTTTTCTTAAATCCAACAACTAGTTCAGATCATTAATCTTTCAATGTTTTTTTTAAAGAGGCTAGATTTTATCCCAGTAATGTTGGTTCCTTTGACTAAATTGTAATTTTCAGTTTAATCAACTGAGTCTTGCTCGTTGAATTCATCAAACAGTGACGCCGTGTTTGACATCAGGACACAGACATGTTGCAGAGCTTCACTTCAAGTCGTTTCATGTACAACATGAAGAGAATACCTCAGAGGCAAACATAAAATGACTCTTCTGACTCGAGGACTTGCGTTTTGTTTTAAACTCGGTGAAGTTGTCTCATTTCCATCTCTCGCCTGTCATCGCATCCTCGTTTTGACTTTTCAGTGAAGCAATAGTTCTCATCTTTTCAGCCTTTTCAAGGTGAATGCTTTAAAAAAAACACACACACGTTCTGATATGTATTTTGAATATTCCAAATGCAGGACATTTTGTGAATTTTTGATATGAATGATTTTTATTTTCACTGCCATGACAAAGATCTGTGATCTTCTCTGCTCTGCAGATTGTATTAATGGCGACAAAACGAGCCACTTCTTTCCTTCTTGTGTGTATTGCTCCCACATGGTGTCCAGTTTTCTTGCCGTATTCTTCCTGTTTTTGCTGAGTCGACTGCGTACAAACAAAAAAATGCAGATTTCGTATGAACAATAGCCGTGAAAGCCTCTAATAGAGTTTTTATGCTTCAAAAGAAGAGAATGTACAGACAATCAGAAGCTCCTAAAAGCTCTGATCTCCAGTGGACATGCTCCTCAGAAATCAGTTTTTAAATGTTTCCTCTTTTTATTTCTATCTGTTTGAGTGAGTCGGGCCCTGAGGTGAGGAGCCACCACATGACGGGCCGGACCACACACACAAACACACACATACATGTTTAATGACAATCTTGTAGTATTGTCTTTTTGTTACTTTTTCCCCCACACGATTGTACGTCCTCGTGCTTGCACTTTAGAACGTTTTATTTTAATTTTTAAGGAAATGTGACTTTGTTCTGCAGCATGTTAAGTTTGTACATTACAGTATTCTAATAGTCACTTTTTTTTTACTAAAGGCTTTGCTTTATTTGATTTGATTTCAGTTCTGTCACTACAGAGAAAACTGAGGATTAGAAATAAAAGCGGCCTCTTTCTTTTTCTTTGTTTTTTAGTTTAAACTCTTGAAAGCCCCTTTTGGCCCTCCTGTCTCAGGATTGTGTAAATTTAGTAGCTTCAAAGTGAATTTGTAGGGTTTGGCAGTGATTTGAAGAGTGGAACGATTTGATCATGTTTGCTTAGAGAAATATCCGTACTGCTGTCATGTTAATATACACGAGTAATGATGCAAAACACTGTAGTTATGAAGGAAACTGTAGAATTGGTGTAAATAAGTGGAAATTCCAATAATTTCAATTTAAACAAATCACTTTTAAAAGCCTAACCCAAAACAAATCAAACTGAGGATTTTGGTCTATACCCATAAATCCTGTTCAATATTTTCATGACGAGATAATTGTATGAATATACATTTTCAAGTTTAATTTTACTTAGAGATATTTCTATTTTTCAAACACGATATTCCTGTAAGAAAACCGCACCCTGCAACAGAAACTTGTATTTATGCTATTGTTGCCTGCTTCATTTCAGATTGTTCTCTGCTGAGCCCAAGACGAGAGACCTGTGTACTCTGACAGAGCGATGTTGTCTTTCTGATGGCTCGTTGTATGCACAATAACCTGAACGTTTTTTTTTTCTGTCATTTTGTTTCCCTCCTTTTCTATAGTGAACAGGTTTTATGCATTTTGCTGACGAGGAGTCGTTACAGCAAGCTGTTTTGAGTTTGTTCAGGATGGCTGCTCTGTAACTTGTTCTTGTGACTCTTGGATGGGATTAAAGAAGCGTTAAAACCACTGGTGTCACTGTGCTCATTGGGTACTTCTGCATTATTTGTTGCATAATAAACACACATGGTGGCTACAGTGTGTTATTTGAACCAAATTATAGGAAAACTCAAAACACTTCTTCCTCCTTTGATTTAAAGTAAATTATTAACTTTGGGACAAGATCACTGTCTCCCTCTAGTGGTGAAATGATGAACATGCACTTAAATCTGCCTTATTCATGTAAACAATTCAATATGACTTTTTTTACCACTTTAAACTGAACATAATGCTGCATGTAGTTTAGTTTGTCTTAAATTTAAACTATTTCATTTTACCAAATTAAAGTTTATATCTTATAGAAGCTTTGCAGCACCTGGGAAATGAGAAATCAAACCATTACAACTGATCTGTGGTGGCCAGGCCATCTTAAAGATAAGATAGAATTGCATTGATCTTCCATGAAATTGTGCCAGAGCTTCACTACAAAAGAAACATACACAATAAATCACATAAGATTAAAAAAGAATAAAGCTATAAAAATAACAGAAGGTAAAAAATACCAACGATTAATGTCTAAAACAAGTCAAGGTGCAGACAGAAACAAACTTTATTGTAGTGCAGGATACATTTTATTGTCCTATGCATAGAAAGGGGAAGGAGTTGAAAAGTTTGATAGCCACAGGGAAGGAGGACTTCCTGTGGAGCACCTTGGTCGTCTCAGTCTAAAACACAGTTTATTAAAAAAATAACTCTTAATAGATTCGAGCTTCAATGAGACAAGTGGTGGCTATGTTTTTCCTTCAGCTGCTCTCCCACCTGGACACAAATGGAAAAAAAAAAATTAAAGATGAACTTTATTTAGAATGGCTGTTTTGAAAAAAAAATTATAATAAAGTAGCTATAATAGTGCAGAATATTGTGTTATCATAGAAAGCAGGTTTTTCAGCAAAGCTTGTCTCAAGTTTATGGTTATTTTGTTAATATTTTTAAGTATAACGAGTTATCTTGTCCAGTTAAGTTCAAATAAATGAAATAAGTGTGTCACTGGTCAATGGCCAGGCTGTTAACCAGCTTAAACTATAAGTTTAGCCAGCCTGTTTATCCACGTTCAGACAGCAGCACTGCATCCTGTGTTGAGATTGTTGGTCAAGTGTGTGAAGGACAAAGTTTTTTTTTTTTAAATTTTTTAGGATAACTAGCCTGTTGACCTTTTTAAACGTGCTGATGTACATGTTTAAAATGCACCCCATATACATTCATATTCTGTGTTCAACTCTAGTGTTTGTGTCATTTGCACTTGTTTTTTGTTGACTTTTATACACCCAACATAATTATAAATTTGTTTGGGGGTATTTCATGTTTGGAGCAAAATGTCTTCAACGTTAAATGTTACCAGGTGTCAGAATGACTACAGAGCAGCTGAAATGGATATGAACACTGCCCAGACCAAATGTATTTAAACAGGATGTAGGCATGACGATATCTAGACCACAATGCATTGCATTACTGACTCAAAGCAGCATTAGTACCTGTTAAAAGGTCAACACTGTCATGTACAGACTTGTTGAGCAGATGGATGGATGGATGGATATACTTTATTAATCCCCATGTGGAAATGTAATCCATCCAGTAGCATGTTCAAATTATTAAAATAAAAACATGAAATAATGACAAAAGAAGCAGAATACACAAAAGACAGTACAGTATACACATGCACAAGGTGGTACATTCAACATACACAATGAGGAAAATAAGTATTTGAACACCCTGCGACTTTGCAAGTTCTCCCACTTAGAAATCATGGAGGGGTCTGAAATATTCATCTTAGGTGCATGTCCACTGTGAGACATAATCTAAAAAAAATAAAAATCCAGAAATCAAAATGTATGAGTTTTTAATAATTTATTTGTGTGTTACTGCTGCAAATAAGTATTTGAACACCTGCCAATCAGCAACATTTCTGGCCCTCAAAGACCTTTTAGTCCTCCTCTAAAAACTCCACCTCCAGTCCACTTATTATTCTAAATTAGAAGCACCTGTTTGAGGTCGTTAGCTGCATAAAGACACCTGTCCACCCCACACAATCAGTAAGACTCCAACTACTAACATGGCTAGGACTGAAGAGCTGTCCAAAGACACCAGAGACAAAATTGTAGACCTCTACAAGGCTGGAAAAGGCTACAGGGCAATTGCCAAGCAGCTTGGTGAAAAAAGATCAACTGTTGGAGCAATTATTAGAAAATGGAAGAAGCTAAACATGACTGTCAATCTCCCTCGGACTGGGGCTCCATGCAAGATCTCACCTCTTGGCGTATCAGTGATCCTAAGAAAGGTGAGGAATCAGCCCAGAACTACACGGGAGGAGCTGGTCAATGACCTGAAGAGAGCTGGCGCCACTGTTTCCACAGTTACTGTGGGTAATGCACTAAGACGTCATAGTTTAACACCAGGCATGGCACAGAAGTTTCCCCTGCTTAAATCAGCACACATCCAGGTCCGTTTTAAGTTTGCCCATGACCATTTGAATGATCCAGTGGAGTCGGGAGAAAGTTATGTGGTCAGATGAGACCAAAATAGAACTCGTTGGTCTTAATTGCACTCGTCTTGTTTGGAGGACGAAGAATGATGAGTACCATCCCAAAAACACCATCCCTACTGTGAAGCATGGGGGTGGAAGCATCATGCTTTGGGGTGTTTTTCTGCACATGGAACAGGACGTCTGCACTGTATTAAGGAGAGGATGACCAGGGTCGTATATTGTGAGATTTTGGGGAACAACCTCCTTCCCTCCAGTTAGAGCAATGAAGATGGATGGGTCTTCCAACATGACAATGACCGGAAGCACACAGCCAGGATAACCAAGAAGTGGCTCCGTAAGAAGCATATCAAGGTTCTGGAGAGACCTAGCCAGTCTCCAGACCTAAACCCTATATAAAATCTTTGGAGGGAGCTCAAACTCCATGTTTCTCAGCGACAGCCCAGAAACCTGGCTGATCTAGAAAAGATCTGTGTGGAGGAATTGGCCAAAATCATGCTGCAGTGTGTGCAAACCTGGTGAAAAACTACAGGAAACGTTTGACCTCTGGAATTGCAAACAAAGGCTACTGTACCTTAAGGGTGTTCATATGTGCTCTTGGCACCAGGACACCCTAGGCTGCAGTTCGATGAGCAACTTTGTCGTCGTCTCATCTGATCTGCAGCCACATGTCTTGGACACTCGGGTGAAGAGGGGGCGGAGCTGTCCACTGATCACTAGCTGGTGGTGAGTTGGCTCCGATGGTGGGGGAGGATGCTGGTCAGACCTGGCAGGCCTAAACGTATCATGAGGGTTTGCCGGGAACGTCTCGCAGAGTCTCCTGTGAGACGGTGCTTTAACTCCCACCTCCGGGAGAACTTCGAACATGTTCCGGGGAGGTGGGGTACATTGAGTCCGAGTGGGTCATGTTCTGTGCCTATATTGTCGAGGTGGCTTACCGGAGCTGCGGCCGCAAGGTTGTCGGTGCCTGTCGCGGCGGCAACCCTCAAACCCGGTGGTGGACACCAGTGGTGAAAGATGCTGTCAGGCTGAAGAATGAGTCCTATTGGGCCTTTTTGGCCTGTGGGACCCTGGAAGCAGCTGATGGGTACCAGCAGTCCAAGTGGCATGCGGCTCGGGTGGTCGCTGAGGCAAAAACTCGGGCATGGGTGGGAGGAGTTTGGAGAGGCCATGGAGAATGACTTCCACATGGCTTCGAGGTGATTGTGGTCCACCATCTGGCGTCTCGGGGGGGGGGGAAGCGGTACACCACCAACACTGTTTATAGTAGGGGTGGTGTGCTGCTGACCTCAACTCGGGATGTTGTGGGTCGGTGGGCAGAATTTTTTTTTTTTTTTTCATTTAGCCTTTATTTACCCAGGTTAGTCTCATTGAGCCACGAGAACTCATTTTCAAGAGAGACCTGTTTTTTTAGGGAGCACATGGTAGGGGTTAAGGACCTTGCTCATGGGCCCAGAGTGGGGCGAATGAGGGTGGGGGCAAGTGTGAGTGTTTCACCTACCCCACCCACAATTTTGATGTTGTCGGGGCCGGGGCGTGAGCCGGCGATCTTCGGATCACAAGCCCACCTCTCTAACCTCTGCGCCACCACTCCCCCAAAGAAGAAGACCTCCTCAATCCCACCGGCATGTTTTCCATTGAAAAAGCGGAGCCTGGTGACTCTGGGTCGGGCCCTCCAATCTCTGGTGCTGAGGTCACCGAGGTGGTTAAAAAGCTCCTCGGTGGCAGTGCCCCAGGGGTGGATGAGATTCGCCCGGAGTTCCTTAAGGCTCTGGATGTTGTAGGGTTGTGTTGGCTTATGCGACTCTGCAATATTTTGTGGACATCGGGGGAAGTTCCCCTGGATTGGCAGACTGGGGTGGTGGTCCCCCTAGTCAAAAAGGGGGACGTAGAGTGTGTTCCAACTACAGGGGGATCACGCTCTTAAGCCTCCCTGGTAAGGTCTATTCGGGGGTTCTGAAGAGGAGGGTCCGTCGGATAGTCAGAGCTCAATCAAAAGGCGAAGCTCTCAATTTACCAATCAATCTACGTTCCTACCCTCATGTATGGTAATGAGCTTTGTGTTGTGACTGAAAGAACGAGATCTCGGATACAAGCGGCTGAAATTAGTTTTCTCCGCAGGGTGTCTGGGCCCTCCCTTAGAGATAGGGTGAGAAGCTCGGTCATCCGGGAGGGACTCAGAGTAGAGCCGCTGCTTCTCCACATCGAGAGGAGCCAGTTGAGGTGGCTCTGGCATCTGGTTAGGATGCCTCCTGGACGCCTCCCTGGTGAGGTGTTCCGGACACGTCCCACTGGGAGGAGACCCAGAAGAAGAACCAGGACATGCTGGAGGGACTATGTTTCTCGGCTGGCCTGGTAACGCCTCGGGATTCCCCCGGAGGAGCTGGCCCAAGTGGCTGGGGAGAGGGAAGTCTGGGCCTCCCTACTTAAGCTGCTACCCCCGCGACCTGACCCCGGATAAGCGGAAGAAAATGGATGGATAGATGGATGGCTACTGTACCAAATAGTAACATTGACTTTCACAGGTGTTCATATTCATTCAACCTTTATTTAGACAGGTAAATCCCATTGAGCCTCGAGGACTCATTTACAAGAGAGACCTGATTTCAACAAAGAAAGATGACAACAATGGACAACAGCAACAACAACAACATATACTTATTTGCAGCAGTAACACACAAATAAATTGTTAAAAAATCATACAGTGTAATTTCTGGAATTTTTATGTTTATGTTTAGATTATGTGTCTCACAGTGGACATGCACCTAAGATGAAAATTTCAGAACTCTACATGATTTCTAAGTGGGAGAACTTGCAAAGTCACAGGGTCTTCAAATATTTATTTTCCTCACTATGTATATATCCATCCATCCATTATCTTTACCAGCTAATTCCATTTTGGGTCACGGGGGTCGCTAGTGCCCATGTCCAGCAATCACTGTGCGAGGGGCGGGGTACACCCTGGACGGGTCGCAAGTCCATCACAGGGCCACA